AGGTTTTCGCTATAGGGCGCATGCACTCGCCAGACAGACAGAAAGCGAGAAATCACCCCCCAGGGGGGATGACCACGCAGCAATCCCTTCTCCTCCATTCTCCTCTCAGGATCTTGGGCACGCACACACATGCTCCTGGCGTGAGTTCTAAGCCACCTGGTCCGGGACGCGAACTGCGGTCGACTATGTGGGAGTCTAGCGACATAGCCATTACGCTAACTGCTGGTTCCCCCAATTTAGATTCTTTTCCATTGATACTGCCTACTGATATACAGGAGCTCCTGAAAAATGTAAAATTGTTATTGCTTCTTGAAAAATTCTTTATGAAAGATGATGATAAGCTTATGTGACATAAAAAATTAAGTCTCCCGAAGTTTTTGCTTTACTACTGGCCTGTCCCAAAGCAAAAGAAAGCTAGATAAAATGTTTAAAACACATGTTCAGGTCAAACTGGGTTGTTTCTTATTCAGAAATATTCATGTTGAATACAGGCATACGAAAGGCCTTTTTTATCCCATTTACTAATGGGCTCCACCCTAAGGTCAGTAATCTAAATAAGAAACATGGTGAGTTTAAAAAAGACCAGATACCAATTAAATTGGTCTTCAAAATAAGAAAAAAAAACATCCACTTGCAACATCAGGAGTTTGTACCTTAATACAACGGCTAAACTTCCTACATTCTTTTTTTTTTTCCCCCAGTTTTGCTAGAGGGCATATGTGCTCACTCACAGACATAGAAAAAAAAAGAGAAAGTGAGAAATCACCCCTGGGGGAGATGGTCACACCACAATCCTTTATCCTCCATTCAATTCCTCTCTGGATTTTGGGCACACACACCTAGCATGATTTTCAAGCCGCTGGGTCCAGAACTTGAACCACCTAGTTGGCCATGGGGAAGCCAGCTGCTTTAACATCCATGCTACCTTCTGACCCCCTTACCTTCTGCTTTGATTTAAAAAAAAAAAAAAAATTATCTTAACACTCACCAGAAGGGGATGAGAATTAGTGAGAAAGCAAGCTGCTAGTCCAGGACTCGAACTACTGTCAGCCATGTAGGAATCCAGCACCCTAACCACCATGTCACCTGCTAGCCCCACTTTCTATTTTGCTTTAACCTCAAGAGAAAACACTAAACTTTAAAAACAGATGTAGTTTTCATTCTGTGAGAAATAAATTATTTTTTACATTTTGGTACAAAGATCCACACGGATCTTTTTAGCTCCCACCCCATATTTAATATTAAAAATCTTCCCTCCTCCTTCATTTCTCTTTGACTGACCAAGATGTTTTCACTCTTGTAAAACTAGAATAAATTAAGGGGCCAGCAGGTGGCATGGTGGTTAAGGGTGCTGGATGCCCACATGGCTGACAGCAGTTTGAATCCCATATCTGGCAGCTTGCTTTCTCACTTTCTTTCTCTCTATCCCTCTCTGGTCAAATTAAAATAAATAAAGTTAAATAAAATTATTCTTAACAAAAAAAATAATAAAACTATTGGGACCAGCAGTTGGCATAATGGCTATGTCGCTGGACTCCCATGTAGTTGACCACGGTTTGAGTCCTGGTGGCTTAAACTCATGCTGGGCGTGTGTGCGTGCTTGCATGCCCAAGGTCCCAAGAGGAGAATGGAGGAGAAGGGATTGTGGCATGACCATCCCCCCTGGGGGGGCGGTGATGTCTCGCTTTCTGTCTCTTTCTGGTGTGAGCACACACCCTATAATAAAAAACTTTAAAAAAAAAAAAAGATTATAAATTGAACTTTTCATTTCTGTACTTTGATTTCTAATGTGTCCCAAGCTCTGAGGAATAAACTACCTAACCCTCCACGACTGAAAATCTCCCTCTGGCCACTTACTGAAAAGACTTCTGTTGAGGATAACAAGTTTAACACCCCAGTTGGAAAACGTACAAATTGAAAATTCACTAATTAGCAGGATTATTCAGAGTCACCCACATGCAACTCAGTTATAAGGTACATACTTACTGTTCGAGCCAATATTTGGCACATTGCACTGAAGGTCAAAAGTTGTAGTTTAATCTCTGTGTCCCATTTTCGACAGTTTTGAATATGCTCATGACTTCCAAGGCAATGATTACTGTTAAAATATTAATTATTTACCAGTATTATTCTACTCAGATAAGTTATAGAGGCGAGCGTAAAATATAAATTGCATATTCATCAGGTATCTAAGAGGACAGTAACATACAGACAGTTTTTAGCCAACTATAAGCATTTAAATAAAGGAATTATTCTATATTAGAAGAGTAAAAATGAGGAAGACAACAAAGACAAAAATGAAAACAGGAATAAGAAAAATAGTGAAAGGGCTTTTTAGGGCTTAGGAAAATAAAAACTAAAACAACTAGACTGAAAGCTAGATAAATTACCTACTTAAGAGGAAAAAAAAAGGGGTGAACATTTGAGTATTGTGCATCAATTAACAGTGCATACTACAAAAAGAGAAAATAAAATGACTCACTGGCTCTTTACAGAAAAAAAATCCAATGCATTAACTTATTAACCAATTTCCCACACTTCTTCCTGTATAAGACTATAAGCTTCTTAAAAGTATACCATGTCTTAAATTAGCTCTGAAATCCTGCCACTATATTAAATACATCTCGGACATAGTGTATCTCAATACGAATTCACTGATCCAATGAATCGTTTTAGCAGAACCCAATGTATTTTAGGATTACAAGTTTAACTTGAAAGTTTTCTCATTTAAGCCACTAAAATGAAATTTCCAAAGCTATTGCTCAGTAGTTAAATTAACTGACTTACTTTTGCAGCACTTCTTCTTGACCACAAACTTTCAAAACATAGCTGCCAACATCTACTTGATTCAAGTCATCGTGTACCCAGCAAAGAGCTTGCATTATAATGATTTCAACAGTAGAACTCACTGTAAAAGAGTTAGTCATTATTTTTATCATTTTCATTTTCCTCAATTACCTGTAAGTATATACTTACTCTTTAAAATTTTCTAGTAGCCAGGACTAGCAGATGGTGTAATGGTTACATCACTGGACTTCCCTGGATTTAACTACAGTTCAAGTTCTGGGCCCGGTGGCTTAAAACTCACACCAGGCATGTGTGCATGTGTACCTAAGATCCTGAGATGAGAATGGAGAAGGGACTGTGGCATGGCCATCCTCCCAGAGGGTGATTTCTCACTTTCTGTCTCTTTGGTAACCACACATGCCCTATAGTAAAGCGCTCTCTCTAAAAAAAAAAAAAAAAAAAATCTAGTACTCACAATGAAAAAAGTAAAAGGCAAAAGATAACAATTTTCCTTAAATTTGCTAACAAGCATGTATGCTTACTGGAGAAAGAAAAAAAAGAGAGAGGGGAAAATGAGAAATCACCCCACCCCACCCCCGGGTAATGGTCACACTGCAATCTCTTCTCCATTCTCCTCTCAGGATTTTGGACACACATGCACACGTGCCAGCATATTTTCTGAGCTGCCAGGTCTGGGGCTTACTTTGCGTACTTGGCCATATAGGATCCGGCCACCTTAACTACCATACCACCTGACTGGCCCTAGAGGTAACAATTTTAATAACAGATTTTTACTTAATATATCCAAAATATCATTTTAACATATAATCAATATGTTAAAATTATTAAAATATGTCATTCTTTTTTCAAAGAAAGCCTTTGAAATCGAGTATATATTTGGGTGTTACAGCACATCTCAAATAAGATTAGCCACATTATATGAGCTCATCAACTACATTAGGACTCAATCCACTGCTCAACAGGACAGTGTGGGTCTCAGGTAAGAAACCCACCTCCCTTTTACAGACTCCTCCAAATAGGATGACATCCAGCAATAGCTGGCCAACAACTATTTTAAGCAAATTATAAGGAAAAAGAATCATCATTTTAAATGTTTGACACTTGCCTGATAAATTTTCCAACGATGAAAACAAATATAGCAAAGGTAGTATTTTTAAAGTATCTTTCTTGGCAAAAGTTAGATATATAGTAAGATTACAATACATTAAAGACTAAAGCTTTTAAAGTAACCTACTTCTATACTTAGAGCTTCTGTTTATTTAAAAGAGAATTTGAGGGCCAGCAGATGGCATGACGGTTAAGGCACCAGATCCACATGGCCAACTCCATGGCCCAAGTCCCAGACATGGTGGCTTGAAAAACATGTCAGGCATGTGTACATGTGTACCAGAAATCCTGAGGGGAAAATGGAAGAGGGACCACAGTGAGGTCATCCCACTAGGGGGGTGATTTCTCACTTTCCTTCTCTCTGTCTCTGGTCAGTTCACATGCCCTAAAGGAAAAAAAATAATAAAAAAAAAATAAAAAAAAATAAGAGAGTGAGAGAATTTGGATGTTTGATTAATATTCAAAGTTCATAAAATTACTAACTCTGTGGGAGAAAAAAACCACTATTATAAAAACGTCTAATACAATAGTTATATTAATGAATCGTTAAATGTATAAATAACATTTATTATTTGAACACATAAACCACACCTATCATAACATGAGCACATTTCTTAATAAGATGTATATTATAAATAACAAAGCTAGAGACATTTGAAATACTTTTTTCAGACTGGTCAGATTTTGATGTAGTGAATGAACATTTGATACAAATTAAAACACTTGTTATCAATGCTTATTTATACTTATTTTGAAGTGCCTTTTGACCTTTTCTCTTTTTTTTCAGTCTTAGTATTAATTCTTACTGCATAACTAGATTTAAATGATTCCTTAAACCAAAATTAAAGGTATGTCTACAAAGAAAATCTTTTCCTTTAAAATTTAAAAGAATAATTGTAACAGTTGGCTAACATTTTTCTGTTTTCAGATTTGTATTTTTTCAAAAAATCTTCAAGAGTGCAAAGCTAGTATCCAAATGTTGAACCTATTCCTAGTTATAACCATTAAAGGGAAAATAAGGCAACTTTTTTGAAAAAGACACATAGTGGGAATCAGCAGTTGACATAATGGCTATGTCACTGGGCTCCCACGTAGTCGACCGCGGTTCACGTCCCAGACCCGGAGGCTTAAAACTCACGCCGGGCGCGTGTGCATGCGTGCCCAAGATGCTGAGAGGAGAATGGAGGAGATGTGTGACCATCCCCCCAGAGGATGATTTCTTGCTTTCTGTCTCTATGTCTCTGTCTGTCTGGCGAGCGCACATGCCCTACAGCGAAAACCTCTCAAAAAAAAAAAAAAAAGACACATAGTAATAAAGTTGGTTTATTTAAAAAATGGTAATACTTATGTTTTAAACATTTTCCCCCTAATCAGAACAAAACAAAATGCTTGGACAGTCTCAAACCTACCATCACATGTAAAAGTAACTGGTAGTTGAAATCCTTCAATTTCAATGGAGACCTTGACACTAGCATTTTCTCCACATACGTTTCTTTGCACCGTGACTGGACTTAATAAATAGCCTGGATTTGTGCAGTGATCGGTATATGGAAATTTGGTCTTCAATCTGTTCACAAGAAGGAAGAAATTAAATTCTTTTTTCAAAAGCTGTATTTGAAGGCTCTAAACAAGGCTTTACATGCTTGTGGACACTCAATTCTGTGTGTCTCTGTCCAACTCTAGAGCAGCTCATGAGAACTGCAATGAATGAACCCCTGTCAAAACTCCAAATACAAGCATTAGCATTTCAAATAGAAGGAACCTAAGGAAAAGAAAGAGCTGAACTACTGCCAGGATATCTCTGGTAACACTGTCACCACTACTGAAACATTCACTGGATAAACTGCATTAAATAAGGTTCTGCATTTCAGAATATTTTGCCACACAGTATAATTATTTTAAAAAGGTACCTTTTAAAAAAGAATTACTGATAATATAGGCAATAAAGGCTTAAAATTATAATGGCCAGAAGGATAAGGTTTTTTTGTTTTTTTCATCTTTTTTCCTAAGGACTTTCTTCCTACAAACATTGTTTGGTTGCTAGACAATTAAAAAACATAGGCCATGGGTTTTTACAATACTACAGGGCCTTTATTCCTCCAGAGTGAGTTCTAAAACTTAGAGAACTAGAAGAGTTGAATGCAAAGATATTCACAGTAGCAACACACTGGTGATGCTGTTACCAGAAGGCAAAGGGGGATTTGAAGTCTTCTTTAAACTCCTGGGCTTCCTTTAACTGACTTTTTCTGGAGGTTTGAAGACAGGTTCCAGTCCTCCCATCTGTTTTTTTTTTTATAGAGCTATAAATGGAATTAATGCTGTAACTATCATCTATTTCTTTCTGTAGAGATTGAAACAATCAAGCCACAGGAACAGAATAAAACAGTTTGACTTGGCAGGAAAAACAGCAAATGTAGTAGTTAGTGCACAGTCAAGAGCCACAGACTATTTGAGTTTGAATCCTGATTTTACTACTTAGCTGTGTGGCCTTGGGTGAGTTATTGAACTGAGTTGTTGCTTCAGCTTCTACAAACCGAGGATACTACTACTTACTCCACAGGTTGTTGTAATGGAACAGTGCCTAGCACATAGTAAGAGCTATAAGCTTCTTGTCAAATGAATTAGTAAATAAACAACTCTAATTTCTGCACTATGACCAAGTAACACTAATGATCTAATATTTAACAGAAGTGTAACCAAAAGAGTAATATAAGTAATAAACTTAAGTGGATATTGGAGCTAGACCTTTAGATGTAAACACATTACCCTTTAGATACCTGATTGCTGCCAAGCTCACCCCTCTGCAATACAATGGTAAGACTGGTATGGGACCCAGACCAAGACTGTCAATATTTCTCACATACATGGTATTCTATTTTCCACAGCTTATGAAATAGATGATCACATAAAATTATTAAATTAACAAATATATGCAATGGTAGAGAATTTTGACTATATCTAAGCGAGGCTTCAAAGTTCAGAAATCCTTATGATACAAAGACATTCCTGATGATGGCTCAGAAAACAAAATTTATGAGACAAAAATTCCAGTAATAAAAGTTGCACTCAATAAACTTACCTTTGGGGCAGCCCTTGGCCTGATGCTTAAGAGAGTTGGATTTCATATATGGTTCATCCACAGCTTAAAAAACAGAAGCAAGTGTGCACATATGCCCAAAATCCCCAAAGGAGGTAGAAATGGATTAGAAGGGATTGTGTCATGACCATTCCCCATGGGGGCTGCTTCCTCTCTCTTTCTCTCTCTCCAGAGAATACATGTGCCCTCTGGCAAAATTGAAAAACAAAATAAAATAAAAATTAATTTGGCTTTGTTGAGGAGCTGGGAGGGACCTTCTCCTTTTCTTAAAATGAGTTCTTTCTTTTACCCAACAATGCAAATGTACTTAATGTTACTGAATATATCCCTAAAAGCCATTAAAATGGGAAATTTTATGTTTTGTATACTTTACTACAGCAAATACATGTTTTTAAATGAGTCCTTTTTTTTTAATCTGCCTGATGGAAGACAATAGGTCCAGGATATACAGTAATTCCTTTTGCTCTTCTGTAAAATCAATTATTTCTCCTGTTCTCATGATTTGGTTTACTAATATAAAAATTGGAAAAACAAAACAATGGCATGAACAAAAAAACCCTATTTAATAGAATCCTTAAAGCTTGGTCTTTTTTTGTTTTAATTCTGCTACAGAGTGCATGCACTAGCAAGAGAGACAGTGAGAGCGAAAAAGCATCTCCTAAGAGGGATGGTCATGCTGCACGCCTTCTCCTCCATCTCCTCTTTATGAACACACACACATGCATCCAGCATTTTTTCAAGCTGCTGGGTCTGGGCCTTGAACTGCACAGTCAGACATGTAGGGTTCAGCTGCCTTAACCACTTAACCACGCTGGCTGGCCTAAAGTTCGGGTTTTTTTATTTTGGCTTTGTCTTATTTGTAACTAAAAGTTTAAGCATACAAAATTGAATTAAATTATTAAATGAATAACTGTTGTCTGAGTAAATCACTCACTTTAAATATAATAAACCAGCTAAGGTGTTTTTATGAATACTTTAAGACACACCTTGCAGTTTAGGATATTTTTGTTTTTAGAGAGAGATTTTTGCTATAGGGTGCGTGTGCTCACCAGAGAGACTAGGGAGACAGGAAGCAAGAAGTCATCCCCTGGGGGATGGCCATGCCACAATTCCTCCTCCTTCATTCTCCTCCTGAGATTTTGGGCATGCACATGCATGCACCCAGTGTGAGTTTTAAGTTGCCGGCCAGAACTCAAACCAAGTTGACTACGTCAGAGTCCAGCAATGTCACCATTATGCCATCTGCTGTTCCCTATATATTTTCTAATCTTCACAAAAAATATGCTCTCCTAATCTTATGTTATAATAATGCCTCTTAAATAATATGATAGTAGTTTGAATACTATAAAGCTTACAGCAAAATGAGTCTCTAAAACAAAAGCAGGATTTTTCTTAATGTACCAACAATTATCACTAATACAGTAACAGAAACCTGCTGCATAACCTCGATTTTTTTCTTCTAATGATTCAAAACCTAACAGGTAAGAATAGACGTGCAACTATAGTTTATGGTAATGTGTCAGTGAACTGCTTGACACTACACATGTGAAGAAAAAGTTTCAATTTCTAAAAATTTTGGAATTATCACCAAGCTAGTTCTTAAGTTAATTTTTAAAACAAGCATTCAATTTAAAGAATCTGTGATTTTTTTTTTCCAATTTAACTTTATTTATTTATTTATTTATTTTAATTTGACCAGAGAAGAGAGAGAGAGAGAGAATGAGAAAGTAAGCCACCAGGTCCTAGATTCGAACCATGGTTGGCCATGTGGGAGTCCAGCGCCCTTAACCACCATACCACCTGCTGGCCCCAAGAGTCTGTGATTTATAACGAAAACTTCCTTACTTTGTAATGGACTGACAAAAAGCTGCCACCTCTTCATTCTGTACTTCAATTTCTTGCAGAGGAAAACTTCCAGTTGGCAAACTACTGGTCCCATTTGGGTCTTTCTGTATTAAAAAAAAAAAAAAGTCTTATTTTAAAAATAAGACTAATGCTATTATACAAAGCAGCATAGCCCAAACACATTTTTACAAAAATATGTACAAAGCATTAAAAGTAAAATAAATCATATCAGTAACAAAGTTTCAAATTGTGGATGTGTTTTTCTAAAAGTGATGCCAGCTAAGCCTTCTTTTAATTTAAGTTCACTAGTTTTATTTGCTCAAAAGTGGAAACAGGCTGCATTGGCCAGTAAGAATGGAATGCTAAAAACCTTTCCATTCAAAATATTCCTGAAGTAAATATTTCAGAACATTCACAGCTGAATGAAATGAAAGACTATCTCCTGTTTTGAGAGATCAAGTCCATCGGCGACTTCTCTGATAAAGCAAGAATTCTGTATGTTCAACTTAATCCACAAATTCCAAAAAAGCAGCTGGTTCTTTACATAAAAAAATGAATTTTAGCAGTGATGGACATTTTCTATGTTGATAAGCTTATACAAACATCCTGATAGTTCATCAAAAGTTAAGTTTATAGCCTAGCCTTGGTGGTGCAGGCTAAGATGCTGTGTTCCACAGACTGGGTGGGACCACACTACATGAGTGGCCTGGATTCAATTCCTGGGTGCCATGGTATGTGTAATCTCAATAGCTCAGGAAACTGAGGAAGGAGGACCATGACTCAAAGCTGGCCTGGGCGACACAGGGAGACCCTGGGCACCTGGTAGCACACACCTGTAATCCCAGCTGGGAGGCTGAGACAGGAGGATCATGACATAGCAAGAATTTATCTTTTTTTAAAAAAAATCATTTTATTTTCTAATTTATTTATAGCTAGAGGGTTCATACACTTTCCAGAGTGAGATGGAGAGGGAGGGAGAAACTACCAGTAGGGTACAGTCACACCACAATTCCTTCTCTTCCATTTCTCCGTCAGGATTTAGGGCACCCTCATACATGTGCCCAATGTGTTTTTCAAGCTAGGATAGGATTCAAACTGAGGTTGGCCATGTGGGATCCAGCTCCCTATGTACTGGGTTTAATCACTGTACTACAGGGCTGGCTGAGACTCTTAACTTTTTTTTTTTTTTTTTAATAAAGAAAAAAGAAAGAGAGGAAGAAAGAAAGAGAGGAAAAGTTAAGTTTATTCTTGGTCAAAACTAGTAATATTTAGGAAGATTAATTCACCACCCAGGCATAGTCAAAGAGTAGAGTCCATTTAGAGTTTCACATACTGAATTCAACTAGTTTTGGCACAAGTTTCAAATGTAAATTGCCTTTAAAAATTATAATTGGAACATATTCAATTCAAGATTAAGTAAATATGAATAAATTGTATAAATTTCAAGAGTTCTAGAGGATTTCAATGACTAAGGCACAGAAGAACCTGAAACTTTAGGGTAACAATTCCTTCATGAGTTTCCTTTGAAAATGTGGCACAGTTCTTGCTGCTAGAATGTGATATACATATCTGGGGGGAAAATACCTTGAGTTCTACAAAACTCACAACTAAAATAACAGGGCTCCTGGGTATAAAAAAAATAGAGTTAAGACAGACTACTCAAAATCAGTGTAACTCTGAATCCAAAGACCTAACTAAAACATTAACAAGTCCTTATGGGTCCAGCAGGTAGCATGGTGATTAAGCTACTAGACTCCGGCATGGCTGCTGTGGTTCAAGTCCTGGACCTGGCAGCTTGCTTTCTCACTTTCCCTTTCTCTCTCTGGTCTGGTCAAATTAAAAAACAGTAATAATAAATAAAATTAAAAAAACCTTTTTTTTTTTTAAAAAAAGCCCTTCATGAAAATATGATTACAGTTAAATGTTCACTCTCATTTGTAGGTAGCATATTGTCTTCAATCCTTTGAAGCCCAAAAGTCTGAGGTTCCTCATTTGAGGTGTGAGTTCTTTAGGCCATTTGCTTCTAGTCAAGACCAAATACAATGAAGTTAAAAGTATAATACAGGGTGTAGACTTCTTAACCAACCAAACAAAGGTTCTTAACACAAAGGGCAGTGTCTTCACAGCTTGGCTGCACTCACTGTTTCACTAGACAACTTAGTACTATGAACGTAGAACTGTTCCAAAAGCCACTCATTTTTACCAAAAGAGGACACTTCTGCAGGATTTTCAATGTTTTTCTTAACATCATATATTGCTAAAGTATTCTCTCAAATTGTGAGACTATTCTGCTTCAAAATGTTAATACGCTGGGAAAGATTATGTTTGAACTAATGCCACTTTCCATTATACTGATATCAATTCCATAGCTGCCAATCACCTATCAAGACAGCTGTGTTACAGAAACATACACTGTATTACTCTAAAGAATAGGATTTGACATTCCCTAGTCAATCCTCTGGTCTTACACTCCACATCTTCCACAACTGAATCCAATCTTCTTCTTTTTTTTTTTTTTTTGAGAGGTTTTTGCTATAGGGACGTGTGCTCACCAGACAGACAGAGACAGAGAGACAGAAAGTGAGAAAGGGGGGATGGTCACACCGCAAACCCTTCTCCTCCATTCTCCTCTCGGGATCTTGGGCACGCACGCACACACACCCGGCATGAGTTTAAGCCACCGGGTCCAGGACTCAAACTGCAGTCAACTACATGGGAGTCCAGCGACATAGCCATTATGCTAACTGCTGGTCCCCCAATTTTATTTCCGAGAACTTCCCAAATGATTTATATGTTCTGGTTAGCTTAAATCATGATCCTATAAAACACAAACTGAGCTATCCTGCCTCTCACACTTACTCTTTGCCTGAAATGTCTTCCTCTTAACCAGCCCTCACAGGATGTGTCAAAAATCTATAAATTTTTTAAGGCCCAAGTGAATTACGCTTCATCTACAATGCCTTTCAGGATTATTCATTAAGAAGCAATTTCTATACCAGCAGGTGTCATAGAGGTTAATGTAGGTGGATCCCACATGGCCAACTCCATGGTTTGAGTCCCGCACCCAGTAGCAGGCATGTGTGCCTGCAAGCACATGCATGCGCACCCAAAATCCTGACAGTACATGTCTCCTATAGCAAAAAATTAATTAAAACAAATAAAAATAAAAGAAGAAGCAATTTCCGAAGCCATCCCTATGGTCTACTGGTTAAGGGGGCTGGAACCCACATGGTCAACAACACTGTTTGAATCCTGGACCTGGCTATCTGAAAAGGATGTCAGGAGAATGTGAATATGTGCCCAGAATCTCCTGAAAGGATGGAAAAGGAAAAGAAGAGATTGCAGCATGGCCATGCCATTGGGGAATGATCCCCCTCCCTTCCACCCCCTCCACCCCAACTCGCCCAGCCTCCTTCTCCCTCTCCCTCTCTTGGTGAGTGCACACACACTTTGGCAAATTAAAAAAAAATAAAATAAAAAAGGAACACCTCCTCCTGCGTGCCCCCCAGCACTTTTTTTTTATTTTTGGAGAGGTTTTTGCTACAGGGCACATGTACTCACCAGAAAGACAGAGAGAGAGAGAGAGAGAAGCGAGCAATCACCCGAGAGAAGCGAGAAATCACCCCCTGGATGGATGGCCAAAACACAATCCCTTCTCCTTCATTCTCCTCTTGGGATCTTGGGCACTCATGCACACACACGCGCCCGGAATGAGTTCAAGCTGCTGGGTCTGGGACTTGAACTGCAGTTAACTACATGGGAGTCCAGGGACATAGCCATTATGCCAAATGCTGGTCCCTTCCCCTCCAGCACTTCTAAGTGGTTTGTCTCAGTCAAACGTATCAATATATTTTGCTTTGCATTTATCCTAATGTGAAAGGTTCTTGAGGTTAATAATCAAATTTTGTATTTTTATAAATCTTTATCTATACAATATAGGAAACACTCAACCATTAGTTCATTGTTTTGCCAAACATTTTACTCTCTCTAAAATGCACTTACATAAAAGCCAATGAATCTGCCATAGAAGTCATATTACATTAAAAGAATATAAGATACTGTATACTTACATAAAAAACTTTTTAGAGCTGCAGTAACTTTCATTAATATTTGATTCTATAAAATAAGCTTTTCTAATTATTGATGTTTTAAAAAATAACATCTAGAAATTACTGAGCATTTGCTATGTTAGGCTCTACTGTAAGAAATGTACAGGTATTCGTTCACTCACTCATGTATTTATCAAAAAGCTTTACTTTTTGAATGCTATCATTACCTCCATTAACACATTAAAAAAAAAAAAAGAGGCAAAGAGAAGCAAATTAACTCACATGCAGTCATACAGCTAACATAGACAGAATTAGGATTTCAAGCCAGACAGCATGGCTTCAGAGTCACATACTTAATCACTATGCCATTCTATCTCCAAAAGTGTCCTTAATAAAAACCTTAACACAATGAGGGGAGGGGACCAGTAGATGGCGTAATAATTATGTCACTGGACTCCCACAAGGCAGACCACAGCTCAAATCTTGGACCTAGTGGCTTGAAACTCATGCCGGGCACTTGTGTGTGCATGCCTAAATCCTGAGAGGAAAATGGAGAAGAATGGGTCGAAGTATGGAGATCCCCCCTGGGGAGGTGATTTCTCACTTTCTATCTCTCTGGTGAGTGTATGTTAGAGAGAGATTTTTGCTATCCAGCACAAACAAACACAATTGGGGGAGCGGAGCGCAGCAGGTGGTATAGTGGTTAATGTGCTGGATTCCCACATGGTTAACCACAGTTCAAGTCTCAGACACAGTGGCTTGAAACTCACAGTGGGTGCTTATGTTGTATGTACCCGAAATTCCAAGAGGAGAATGGAGGAGAAGGGATTGTGGCATGCCCCCCTCCCAACCCCCAGAAGGTGATTTCTCACTTTCTCTCTCTGTCTCTATGTCACCAGTGAATGTGTGTGCCCTACAGCAAAAGTCTCTCTTAAAACACACACAAACACACACACACACACACAATGAAGAAAAACAATGGTGAATACCTTTGTAGGAGCAATGCTGTATAAATCCTGTTTGGGAGCCAGCAGATGGATGGCATGGAGTTTAAG